TAATTGGAAACATCTTGGGGAGTTTCTCTAAGTCTCTTTAGGAGACTGTTATTTGGAATAAAAGCCTTTTTTATTTTAAAAAGGTGCCATAATATTACATTACCCGAAGTGTGTGAACTTCCTAAAATAGCTTCAATGATAAACTTTCACTTTCTTTTATTACTGAGAAGCAAAATTAACTCATTACTTATTTGGATTTTCCTACATTTAAAATAGATTTTTTTCCCCTCTATCAGCTCATTTCTGTGTGTTTCTTTACCATTCCACCTAAGAAACAAATCCTCAATAACGCGCGTCCGGGTTGCCCACGCTGGGCCCCGCCAGCGTCTGGCCGGGTAATTCTGTGTTGTCAGTCTGTGCTCTCCACTGCAGGGTGTCAGTAGCATTTTGGCCTCTCCCTGCAGATGCCAGGGGCACCCTCCCGATGCGACAGCCCAAGATGGCTGCAGACCTCGCCAAACGTCCCCTGGAGGGGCAGGGGCAAAACCGCACTCCGCTCCCGGTTGGGAACCGTTAACTCGTATGCATCACTGAGGATAAGCAAAGACTGAAAAGTTCCAGTGCGCCCGAATTATAAGAAACTGCAATGTACCAACATGTGTATAAGATTAAATACTTCAAGGAGGAAAAGCATAAAATACCACATACAAGGTATAGAAAAATTGTATTCTGCTCAACATTTTCATTTTGAGATCGAATATATTATGGGAAGTGCTGAATACAGATTTTTCAAATGAAAGTTGATATAATTGTATTCATTTTGCATTGAAATATCAAGTATAATGAACTTCACATATTTAAGTTGCACACCTTGATCACTTTTGACATATATCTCTCTGTATGCACATGAGACCATCTTCTCAATCAAGATGGTGAACAGTCCAACGAGGCGAGAAAGTTTCCTCCTTCCCCTTTGTAATCCATCCTTCACTCCCAATCTCAGGCTATCACTGATCTCCTTTCTGCGACCATCAATTAGTTTGAACTTTCTAGAACTTTATACGTATGGAACAGGCAGTATGTCCTCTTTCTGCCTGACCTCTTTCTCTCCAAATGACGATTCTCAGTGTCTAAAATGGATCCTCATAGCTGTGAACGCCAACAATCATGTCTCTTCCTTGCTTAGTAGTATTTCTTGGCATGTGTGTGCCACAATTGTTGATCCACTTCCCTGTTGATAAACATTTGGGTTGTCTTCAGTTTGGGATATTACAAATAAAGATGAAGTTTAGTTTCTCTTGGGTAAATACAAGAGTGGAACGGATGGATCTTGTTCGAGGTGTTTGCCAACCTTTTTAAGAAACTCTCAGTTTTCTGATGCGATTGCACATTTCACATTCCCCCCAGCAGGTACATGGGAATTTCTGTTGCCCTTCACTCTCACCGGCTCGCTCTGTATGGTCAGACGCACCAGAGCTTAAAGAGCTCACCACCTGCAGCCCTAGGAGAAAGTCAAAGAAAGCTGCCTTCAACAGAAGATGGGGATGCAGGATAGAAACGCAGATTTTTACAAAGGGACGAAGAGCTCCAGAAATGCTAACAAGGTGGGTAAGTACAAGGACTTTCATCTTTATTCTGCAAATCTCTTTAAAAGATAATACACTGCTTGACGCCAGGAAAAATAACAATGTAATGAGACATATAGCATTAGTGGTAAAATGTACGACAATGGTCTAGAGCTGGGAGAGGAGAAACAGAAGTATATTACTTTAAGGCTCTTACAGTAAACATCAAGTAATAGAATAGTACTTGAAGTAGGCTGTAATAAATTAAAGATGGACACCATAAATCCTAAAGCAACCACGGAGACCTGATACAGTGCTGTAGGAAGGGAGCCAACAAAGAAAAATAATATATTATTTTGATACAGAAAAAGAGGAGAAAGGAATAAAGAACAGATGGGACGAGTGGACGGCAAGTAGCAGATGGCTGACTCAAACCGCAGAGTCCCGCCTAGAGCTGCCAGAGCGGAGAGTCGCAGAGGCCCCCCGGATCCGGGGCAGCCGCGACGAGAGCCCGCGGCAAAGTGATAGCTGCTTTTCAGAAAGGGTCGATGGGGCGCTTGCATTGGGCAGGCTGCCCGTGGGAAGCACCTCCTGCCTGCAGCTAGACCGCCTGTCACCATGTGCGCAGCCAGAAGCGGCCATTAGAAATATGCGGTCCCAAAGGCAGAGAGCTTCGTCTTGCTGGGTAAATGCCAAGGCTGTGGCTTTGGGGCCCGCCACTGGTTTTCATGTTACCCATGCAAAGGGCCGCACAGAGGCCCCCGGGAGCCGCGAGCTGCACCCTGCTCTCAAAGGAGTAGACAGTGTAGGGCTTGCCTTCCTTTTGGTGCCAGAGGCATCAAAAACGTTGTTTCGGCTTGATCTCCAGAGGGACTGAGGCTCGTAAACCCACGCACACAGCCCTGAGCAGCTTTGTTCGCAGAGGGAGCTCTGAGCTGTTGGGAGTTGATCAGCCACCCCTGCAAGCAAAGGCCTGCTGCCTCCAAAGTCAAGGGCGTGGTGACTGAGCCTTCTGAGTTGCCACCAAACAAAACATTGTTAGTGTACAGGCGACTTTGGAGGGCACAGGCACTCGCATGTCCTCTGACACACCCGCTGAGGGTGAGGGGCAGGGGAGTGTGTCCCCAGCCTCGTGTCTTCACAGCACTCCCCTCCTGACCTGGGACACCAGGAGACTCCCTGGCACACCTGGGACTGAGAACACTGAATGGAGAAGCAGGGCCAGTAGCACATCAACTGCAGGTGTGGAAGCAATGGCAGTGCATGGGATTGCCCAGCACCCCCGCCCCCAACACGCACAGGCCACATTGGCTTCCTTTCCTTGCTCCCCTGGGTTCAGCCTCTCGCTTCCACGGGCTCAGGGAGTGATGAGAGCCTGAAGTCCCTGCTTTGCCTGCTGCCCTCCTTGCCCGCTCAGCACACTGTCCCCACTCAGCCGGGCCCGACAGCCGGCCTGCAGTTCTTTCCCGAGCTCTGGCTGTCTCTTGACTCCACTGAACATTTCACCTCTGCCCGTTCTCTGGGCCTCACTGTTGTTTTCAGCAGCAGTGCGGTCCTATGGCTGTCTCACCTATCCTCCCAGATGTGTAATTTCCACCCTCTGCCTCTCCATCCCACAGCCGGAGGGGGCCGCGGAGTGCTGCTAATCACAGCACGTCAAGGGGGCTCAGTCGCATTGCGGCCACCGGCTTCAGGTGTGTCTGCGAAATACGTGGTCCTATTCCTGTCTCGGTTCTGGTGGTAAGTAAGGCTGATGGGGAAATGGCTGCTAAGGCAGGAAATCACCCCCTCTCCCATGTAGCCTCATTTCTGTCCTGGGTCCGTGTTGCCTTTTCCAATGGCCCCTTCATGCTCTCTTATACGTTGGTGGTTGAATGAACTGATAATGCAAAACATGCTGAGTGTCTAGCCACAGGGCAGGTGGCAAAGGCAGCGACAAGGTCAAAGGCTGGACGGCTGAGGACATGTTGTCAACACGGGTGGGACTTTGCACCCAAAAGGACCTGGAGAAGAGAGGGAAGAGCTTGGAAGCGTGGCCGTCTGCAGGAGCCGAGACTCCAAGCTCCGGGGCCATGCCCGGCTACAGCCTGGATGCCTGGAAAAGGGCTCCGAGCCTGGGCCTGGGAGGCGGGGGACGGCGAGGGAGTGTCCCGGTGGAGGAATCGGCCTTCTGCCACTGCCAGAGGAAGGATGTCGCTGACTGACTGCCAGGACAGAGGGCAAGCAGGGATGCACGATTAGATCCCGTCTTCTCCCGCCTCCAGCTCTACTCTCTACCTCCCCCTACTGGCACAGCTGGACCCTGGGGCACAGGAGGCCCACGAGGAAAGGTGGCATCGCCCAGCAGGGTGCAGAAGACAGGCACTGAAATGGAGGGAAAGGCGCTAAAGGACAAGTGTGAAGGCCTTACATATGTCACCAAATGAAACACTGGGTTATACATCATTGAGTAACTCTGGAGGGCTTTGTTTTGATGGAGGATGTTATTAATATAATTAAATGTGGACAAAATGAAATGAATTTGAAATCATGTGCCCTAAATTCCAAGCGGATATGTATTCTCATTAGGAAAAACTGAGAAAAGAAAAAAGAGAAAAACCAAAGTAGGTTTAACCTATAATAAAAGTTGTTTGTGCATACATCTATCCTGTATTTTCTGAGGCAGTCTTAGTTTCAGAAAATGAAGGTTTTTCTTATTTTTTATTTTTGGTAGATATATGTGTTCACAGTTGAGAGCATGTTGTATATGTGTGTCAAGTGATTTTAATATATATCTAAAAATGTAGCAGTGTTCTGATTGAGATTTTTGGATTGCGAAAAAGTAAATTATCTTAACTGAGACTATAACTTACATTTTCTCTGGACTCTGGCACAGGCTCTGAAAAAGTGAGCCATAGCTTACACTCGAGAGAAGTGAGGATGACATTTGGCCAATGCAGAAATATATTCGGTTACACTCCACCTCATTCTGGAAGAACAAAAGAGTGTTTGAGCAAATAATATAAATGAACTAAAAATATAACCTCTGTTGTTATAGGCAACCCTCTCCTTCCAAGGGGAAGAAAGGATAAGGATAAGAAACATATGGAAAAAAGACACTTGATCTGGAAGTATGCACAAGAGAACTCTTGTGAGCACACATGCTATATGCAACTAATCAAGCAAATTACCAGCCAAAATAGCTCCGTGTCCCTCCCTGAATTCTCATTTACTTCTAAGAAAAGTTTCTGTAGACTCATTTACCTTCCAGTTGGCAATGAACAAGTAGCGTTAAAAACTGTTAGGAACAACGGATAAGGAGAGTAATTTTGAGTAGTTCCAGGGTGCTAATCACTCCTCTTCAGCTCCACCTAAAAACTCTATCCTGTAAAAGGAAAGAAAGCTATTATGTGGACTAAGTTGCAGAATTTGTGCTAGCACTTACCACAGAGATCTTCCAGCGTACAGTTTTTTTGCTCCATTTTATTTTATTTATTTATTTACCTTTTTTTTTTTGCACATTAAGTCTATAGAGCAGCTTGTTTCACAGAAGACAGAGGACCGAAATAGGTTAGACTTCATTGCTATAGTAAATTCAAGTGGTGCCAAACAGTTTTGATCATTTGCCACATATTTCTTTTTTGCTTTAATTGGTCCCCCTCCACAGAATCTGAGATTAAAACTGTATATTTATTGAGTTCAAATGTATATTCTTGTAAATTTCCCATTTCCCCATTGTTGGTTTCGATCGATAAGAATCCACTGATGCTCTGTTTATACTGCTCCTTCACTCTCTTAGGTAGTTGCTCTCACCGCAAGTGTTTGCTTTGTTTTGTCTGATTTGTCTTTTGTTTGGCTTTCTTTTGATGTTAGAAACACGGGGAAAGCCAGACTCAGAGGTCCACACCATAAAAGCTAACCAAGGCCATTTTTTTGATGCGATAAACTCCTACGTGATTGTTCTACCATTTAAAAAGCAAAGTAATATAAGACTGAAGAGGGAAACTTTGGCAGGGTTAATGGGTTGTCAGGCAACAAAACAAGCAGTACACAAATGAGAGAAAGATAGACAAAAATTCTCATTATTTCAGGGGAAAAAAAGGGATAAGCAAAGTGGCGGCAAAACCTCCAAACAGAGAAACCAAAAATAGGGCCCTGGGCCCTGGGGGTTATGGCTGTGTTGCGTTTTCCCTGAGCTCTGAGAACCAAAAAAGCAGTGCTACTTTTCTGTTCATTATCGGCCTCCAATTGGCCTCCAATTCTGTGTATTGGACCACATGCCTGCCATCTTTAACCTCTAAGCATTTGCTGGATTATTCTTTCCTCTCGTTTAGGTGACTTCATCCATAACTCTTTTCAGTGTTGGTCTTTGTGTGGCAAAGCCTCTCAGGCCTTAAATGTCTAGAAGTAATTTCCATCCAATCAATGAATAATAATGATCAATGATGGGGAGCTTGGCTGACTATGAACTTCTAGGCTCTAATGAACTTCCTTTAATACTTGAAAATACAAACCCATAGTCATCTTGTATCCATAGTTGCCGAAAAACATGTTATTAAGCTAAAATTTGATCTGCATAAATAACACAGTCTCTCTGTATGCTTTTAGATTCTAATTTAACCTGATATTCTTTAATTTTACTATAACTTGACTAGGTGTTTGGTTTTTGCTTTATTTTCCTTATTTCCCCCCTTTGGCACTTTATGGGGCTTTCTGATCTGAATTGTTTAATTTTTTTGCCTTCTAATTCTGGAAAATTTATTTCCATTATTTGTTATATAAATTGCTTCTAAAATTCATTTAGTGGACTCCTTGCAAGATCTGAGAACTTGCTCTCTAATTCCACACTCCAAGTTTTCTATGTTTTATTTTTTCTTTTTCTTCCATTCCCCTGGGAGTATCCTGGTCCCTTCATTTATTCTTCAGCTCTCTTTAAACCACCTACTGTTGATATGGCTAGGAGATGTGCCAGCTTTTTTCTAGCATGTGGATAAATTGGGTTTAAAAAGATGGGCCCTATTATATCAATATTTTGGTAGCTTGATTTAATGATTAATATACTGTGAAAATAATTAAGTATCATTCTATATTCTCCTCTAAAGTGATGTAATTTTATAGCTGCATAGTATTCCGTTATGTAGATAAACAAAGATTAATTTCATAGTGGGTATTGGAGATGTTTCTAATAGTTTGTCATTATGCATGTCAATGATAAAACCATCTTGTTTACATAAATTAGTTTGCATATTTTTAGTTCTTTATTGAACATGTATTCCTAAAGACTGGGTGCTAGATGATTTTGTAAAAAAATATTCCCCTCTTGAGGTATTACATACATAGCAAAATGCATGAATATTAAGTGCATGGATTAAAGAATTTTTCATTCATCTATCCTGTGTAACCGTGGGAGACGTGGAACATTCGCAGTTGAGTCCATTTTTAAAGGCTATTGATGTACATCAAGAAAAGCGTATCAATTTAAATTTTCTTTGTGTCTTTTCTTTCTTGTGCACCTTTTCCAACATCAGTTCTTTTTTGCCCCAAACTTACAATTTTGATACATAAATTGGCAGATAATTATTATTGTTATTGTTTGTATATCAATTGCCCTTCAAAGGTAGCTTCTAGAAATAAAGTGAATTGTAGACTTTATCATTGCATTACCTGTCTTCTGGTGATAACTTATGGATTTGTCTGAATTTTCTTTGATAGATTTTATTACAATCAACCATACAGGGCTGAATCCTCTTCATGTGAAAAAATGACTAAACATTCTGGAAATGTCTTACTAAAAATCAAAATAAAACGATTTGTGGGCATCTACATCTCTTAATATGAAAAAAATAACAACTCCTATCTTTCTATAACTCTTAAAAATTTCATGCTAGTTCTGCGCGTCGTTTAAAACTATCTGTGACTAATATTCTGTCATTTTTTACAACGGCTAAAAGGAAAAGAGCCACAGCCAGGTCAACACTTGAAAGTACAGAACTAAATCATTGCCAACAATTCAACACAATCATGTCTGTGAGGCAAAGTTAGCTCCCACCCTCACATGTGAAGTGTGAGGAGCAGGACGAATGGTTGTGGAAACAAAGACGTATGCACTCGACTCTACGGTTGAAGTGCGGATCCATTAAAAAGCTAAAAACCAGCCCATTTTTTAAAGCCCGGGCAAGTGATATTGTGAGATCAAATCACAAATACAGATGCTCGGGTGTATAAAAATTGCAAAGAATACTCAGCAGTGAAAAGGCTCATCTAAATGACAATTCACAGAGGAAGAACCCCCAAAATACTTGGTTAATGAAGATTTTAGAAGGTAAGATGAGATGGGAATGTCTGAAAAAGGCAATCGGAAGTCTGACGATGTTATCTATCTCATGTGATTGCGATTCACAGCCTGGATGTTTCTCTCTTTATTCACATAAGAAAAGAAATGAAAAAGAGCCTTTGGGCCCCTGCACAGTGTCCCAGGCACTTGTTTTGTTGTCTGTGTGAGCAGGAAGCCGTCCTTGACCTTGTTCTCGGAGGGAGCGCTGATGTCTACAGGAGTTAAATGAGGAAGACAATGTCTCCACGCCTGGGACAGTCAATGCAGAAACAATTGAGATGCTCTTTGAATGAAGGTTGGCTTCCTGAAAGCAAAACCGGCGGTGGCTCTCTTTCGGAAACCTCACCTGGCCTGGAGACGCGCTCCAACTCTCTGTGAAACGAGTCCACGTTTCAACGGAGTTCAACGGAGGCTGAAAACCAGCCACCAGTCTCTTCACTTCCACTTGACAGCACTGTTTGCGCTTTTTCACACAAAAAGCAGACGTGCTGCTACAAGCTTCAGAAAAGGCTCTGTGTGTCTTATTTTTTCAAGATAGCTCTAAGTTGAAGTTGTGAATATGTTTCAGATGTGTCTACAGAGAGGACGGCTTGTAAGAAAAGCACGTGGGAAACTTCTAAAACCCTCATGCAACACCAGGTCTGTTTCTTTTCCACGTGAGTCAAGTTGCCAGGTCTGCGCATCGCTCGGCTTTGGAGTGCCGTCGGCGGTGTCAGTAGGGGCTTGGGGCTGTTTCTTTCGGAGGTGTATTTAACATTCTCCAGAGGACAGCCCCCCACGGGGAGCATTCGGCTCAGCACCAGGGCTAAGAAAGACTGTAACGACAAGAGATAATCTCACATTTGTCAGACCCAGAAAAGTAGCTGTGAGGTCAATGCCCACAGACCTCCAACCATTCTTCCCACAGTCTCTCCCCCAGGGCCTTTGGAGGGTCACGTTTAGGCTCATTTCTTGTTATTTTACCCTAAGTAGGCTGACATTACTGTGTGCTGGTCCAAGATCACCAGAAGGCAGGAAGTCAGCAGGAAATTAAAATATACGTAGAAAAATGCTGATTGAATATTACTAATACGCTATAATTGCTTGATTCAGATGATTTTTAGAATCGATGAGGAACTCATATGGTGAAACAGAAAAGTCTAAGGCAACAACTTTGTGTAGGGTTTGAGTCCTGGATGACTGTGCCTTCCCAGGGTACCAGCGCTTGTTTATTCAGGTGAGGCAGGGACTGCAAATACTAGTTTTTCATGCTATGTTGGTTTCTATGATTTCTACACAGAAGAAGGTGGATTAATACATTAACTTATCATGGTAACAAAATATTTTCTGTGGTCATTTGAACACTTTGTATAGGCTGCTGTGATCAAGATTAAAATACAGAAAAGAAAGGCAGAAGTATTATATACATTAAAATATACTATAAACACTTGCAAATACACACATGCGCATAGGCATACTTAGTTGTGTGTTGAAAATAGGATATGCTAAACTGATCAATGATTTTTATCACTTATTATAGTGTCCAAGTATTATTGTGGTAGACATGTGTCTCCTAGCCGGAGACACCATTTTTCAGATTGTAGTCACCATTTTCCGCTAGAGTGGAGGTGCAAAATAAAGTGGCAATTTGATCTACGGAAAGTCAAGACAAACCAAGGGACTGCCTGTGCTCTGTGAAGGCAAGCGAAAGCACAGTCTCTTGGGACGGACAAGGCCTCCCAAACAAGGGTGTGCAGGCCGCCCGCCCAGGACTTCCAATGGAGTTGGGTGTCTGGGGAAGACCGTGAATCACGGGGCTCATCCTCTGGCAAAACTGGCGAGTCAAGCTGGAAAACACCCACACTAGGTATATCCTTCTCCTTTTGCTGCCGTAACAGATCACTATAAAAATGAGTGGTTTAAAACAATGCCAACGTATCATCAACGTACATTGCTAAAGATCTGACGTCTGACATGGGTTTGGCTGAGCTCAGACGAGGTTCCTGACAGGGCTGCCTGCAAGCACTCTGCGGAGAATGTGCTTTCTGCCCTTGCAGCTTCGCAGGGCTGCTCTCTGGCGCGGCCCGGGGCTCTGCCTCCCTCCAACATCGACGTCCATGGTCGCATGTCCTGCCTCTATCCCTGCCATCACACCACCTTCTCTCACTCCAAAACTCCTGTCTACTTCTTACCATGAGACCCTTGCGATTATATTGGGCCCACTTGGCTAATCCAGGGTCGCCTCCCGGTTTCAAGATCCTTAACCTAATCAGACCCACGAAATCCCTTTTGCCATGTAAGGCGGCATATACGAACTAGAAAACTC